CACAGAGTCAGAACTGAGCTGTAGCTCACACGCCCCCTCCCCGGTGGGTTTTTAAAGGCATGGAATCACATGAAAAGAATGGCCCATCCTTCTCCCGTGGAGCAACCGGTGGCCTCGAAGTGCATGCCTTCAGGATTGCAGGACAGCTTCTTGCCACTTTTTATATTCTGAGCCCAACTGAAGCCACAAGAGACTTAGACCCTCCGTTGACAGAAGCCAGCCTGCACAACGTTGGCTTCTCACAGTGCGCATATGCAGCCGGGCTCAGGGATTCAGCCGTCCACCCTGCATCAACAACACATACAGCGACCCAGGCTGTTCTCCTCCATTAACGAGAACTTAATTGGCCAGCCTAAGTTGTTGGTGTTAGGTGTCGTAGAGTTGTGTATGACTCATGGTGACCCTATGACCAACAGAGCTGAACTCTGTCCTATCCTGCGCCATCCTCATCATCTCCACACACTTGAGACCTTTGCTGCAGTCGTTGCGTCAGTTCATCTCTTTGAAAGTTTTTCTCTGTCATTGACCCTCCACCTTTCTAAGCACAGTGTCCGAGCGTGACCTCTTGCCAAGAAATAGCCTCTCCTAGCAACATACCAAAATCACGTGAGAGGAAGCGTCACCATCCTTCCCTCTAAGGGGCAGCCGAGCTGCACTTTCCCAAGACATATCTGTTGGTTCTTCTAGCAATCGTGCAGTGTTCTGCATTCTCCTCCAGCGGCACCACACAAAGGCATCAGTTCTTCTGCCATCCTCATTCACTGTCCAGACCTCAGACACATAGCAAGTGATTGGAAAGCCTGAACCAGACACACTTCAGTGTTTAAACTGACATCATTGCTGCCCGGTACTGTGGAGAGTCCTTTGACAACAGACTTTCCTAATGTAACCTACCTTAACTGCTGGTGTCAAGCATGTTGACTGTGGATCCAAGTATGATGATACTGTTGGCTAGTTCAGTCTGTTCTCCATCTATCATGATGTTGCCTGTTGGCCCAGTGGTGAGGATTTTTATCTTCTTGATGTTGAGATGTAACCTATATTGAAGTCTGCAGTCTTTGATCTTCTAAGTCAAGCATTTTGTTGTGTCATCTGCATAACACAGGGTGTTGATGAAACCTTTTGAGCAATGAGAAATACAGGTGGCCATGGTATAGAGGTAGAGCTCATGTTGAGAATCACTAAAAAGTGGGAAGAAACAGCCACAAACGTGAAGGTACAAAGTATGAATCTAGGAAAATTGGAAGTTGTCCAAAATGAAATAGAATGCCTAGACATTGACATCCTCGCTGAGCATTCATGAACTGGCATTGGACATTTTGAGACAGTCACATGATTTACTGTACTGGGAATGCATTCATAGTTATATAGTTGGTTGCATTCATAGACCATTTCAAGGTCTATCTTGAGGTACAATGCTGTTAGTGATGGGATATTATTCACATGTGGACGAGAAAGACCTGTTACTACAAGGTCTTAGCTCTCTCCTATCTATTGTGAGAGGAAGTAGGTTTGTGGTTCAACAAGGCCCCTTCAGCAGGAAAGTCTTGATGTTAACCATTGAAACACACTATGTTTTCCAGGCGAGAAGCGATGCTTAAATCTACTCCAGAGCATTTTGTTTACAAATCTTCAGGCACAGGTCACTAGCCCCCTGCTTGTCTCACGTGGGGGACCCTGGAGTGTAGGCTGAGGGTTTCTCACAGCTCAAGGACAGATAACTCAGGAAGGAGTGTTTCTAGCCAAGAAGGTTGTTATTCTGTCCAGGTCTCAGGGGACCTTGCCTCCCCCTGAACCCCCAACAATGCAGTGGACGCACGCACGCAAAGAAACATGGAACTGTGGAACCATGGCAGAGAGACGGGTGAGATCATCCATGGAGAAAGCAGAACGCAGTAAGACAGTAGTGTCACATTCAAATGTTTGGTGATCCAGGTGCCAATGGCACCTTCCTGGAAACCGCAGGCAGGGTCTTGGACGCTGTTGAGATGGTGCTGAGGACTCACTGAGCCAGTGACGTCATGGCTGTCTGGGACCAATCACAACAGGTCTCCGCCCTCTGTACCACCCACCAGGGTGGCCTCCTGCTCTGGATATAGTGATGTCCTTTACCTTTGCATCTCCTGGGGACAAATGACCCCCATGTCCTTCTCTGTGCCTGCTTATAAGGACCCTGGCTGGTCAGCCCACCTGCTCTGCTATGTGGCCCTGTTCCTAGCTGCCCGTGAGTCCATAGAACACTCACCATCTTCGTGTCCAGACTTTCTATCTGATTCTGCACACTTTCCTCATTCTGCCCCCAAATTCTGTCTTCTACAGAGCACACGGATGCTGGAGTCACGCAGACACCCAGGCACAAGGTGGCAGAGATAGGACGCCCGGTGTCTCTGCACTGCAAACCCATTTCTGGCCACAATGCCCTCTTCTGGTACAGACAGACCTCGGGCCAGGGGCTGGAGTTGCTGAGTGTCTTCCAGAACCAGGCTGTCATTGAGCAGACAGAGAGCCTCAAGGACAGATTCTCTGCTGAGATGCCTAACGCGACATCCTCCACCCTGAAGATCAAGTCTGCGGAGCCGGGGGACACAGCTGTGTACCTCTGTGCCAGCAGCCTAGCCACAGTGCAGCGTTGTCACCTCCTTCCTGTGCAGAAACCTGGGTGGTTCCCCTCCACACCCCACCCTGCACTGTCAGGGGTCTCAGCCCCTCCCATGAGCAGCACGTCGATGGGGACATGCACAAAGCCTCACCTTCAGGGGAAGGGCCAGTGTATGTGATGGGTTTATGGTTTCCCCGCTAATGTCTCCAGGGGTAGCTGTGGATTCCAAAGTTGCCAGGTGTGAAAACAAGGACTAATCACCTGCACTGGGGGTTTGCTCTTTGACTGTCCTCCTGTTACCATTCCCGTGGGGAACAGGCTGTGGACAAGTTCAGTATCTTCAGATCGCCCAGCCCTTGCACCCACTCCTCTCACGCCCAGCTATAACTGCCACTCCCCACAAGCCTTCCTGTGCGTCTTCTGCCTCAGCCACGATGGCCTTCAGGTCTTCCACAAAGATTCCAGATGCCCGCCTGCCTCGGGCCTTTGCTCTAACTGTCATGTTCTTCCCCAAGGTGTCCGTACACTGCATCCTTAACACCTGGAGTATCTGATCTCATCTCCTTATGAGCCTCTTCTGATCACGCCATCCTCATCCCTGCACTGCTGGCCTCCGCTCCCACTCATCACCTCATTCCACAGAAGGACATCCACCGTCTCTATCTCTGCACTGCTGGCCTCCGCTCTGATCATTTCATACTAGGACCTCCGCTGTCCCCATCTCTGCTGCCCTCCGCTCTGACCATTCCACACTAGGACCTCCGCCGTCCCCATCACTGCTGGCCTCCGCTCTCCCTCACAGTATTTGATCCTTTGTGAAGTCCCTGGAGAAGGACATCACACTTGGAAGAGCAGAGAGCTGAGAGGGAAAGTTGAGTGAAAGATTCTAGACTGGTGACTACAGCAATGGGCTGGAGGACAGCAGATTGTGAGGTTGGCACAGGATCAAACAGGTTTAGATCTGCTGTTGGCACCCTAGGGGTTGTACTCAGCTCAGTGGCCCCTCACATCAGCATCCAGGACCCTCTGTTGTGATCCTTTAATAATAGTCAGTAGGGGAAGCCGCCACCACCTATTTCTTCTGGTCCCAGGATCTTGGAGACTGACGTTTACATGGTCTGTTAGTCTAATTCCTTCACTCCTCTTTCCTCAGGGCAGGTAGAGACAATAACTGCATCTTAGAAGGCTTCTCTCGAGTTTTTCATACTCCACTCACAACTCCCAAAATAAGGTGTAGAATATTGTCATTGTGGATTGTTATTGTTATGTGCCGTCAAGCTGACTACAGCTCACAGGGACTCCATGCACCAAGCTCCGAACGCTGCTCTATCCTGAGACAATCTCACGTCTCTGACACACCTACCCTCATTTCCCCAGTTATTTTATCAATCCGTCTCATTTGGGGTCTTTCTCTCCTGCGCTGCCCCTCCACCCTTCCAAGCATGGTCACTGTCCCGCCACCCTTCCAAGCATGGTGTTCTTCTCCAAGGACTGGTCCCTCCTGATAATATCCCCAAAGTATGTGAGATGGAGCCTCAAAATCTTCCAAGGAACAGCTTGGCTTCAACCGCTTCACGACAGACCTGTTAGTTCTCTTGCCAGCCCATAGAACGTTCAGTCCTCTTCTCCGGAGAAGACAAGACTTAAGACTTCTTCCCTCGTTGTACAAATGGATTCAGGACAGTGGTGCACTCAGGTTCCAGGGGGTTATAGGAACAGTGGTGGTGTGACGTGTGAAGTGACAGCGAGCTAACCCTGAGCCGTCTGCACCCACCAGACGCTGCACGGAGAAGGATGGACGCTGCACGGAGAAGGATGGACGTTTCACGGAGAAGGATGGACGTTTCACGGAGAAGGATGGACGTTTCACGGAGAAGGATGGACGTTTCACGGAGAAGGATGGACGTTTCACAGAAAAGGATGGACGTTTCACAGAGAAGGATGGACGTTTCACGGAGAAGGATGGACGTTTCCTGTCAGGATTTGCAGCTTCCATGGGTCATGCGTTGACCAACAGCAGTGAGTTTGAGGGTTGTTTTGTTTGTCTGGGGTGTTGTTTATTTTTCATTGGCTGCTAAGTGAATTGTCCATCCATAGAGGAAAGATTTGCTGCTGTGAATATTTACTGCCTTGGAAACCATGTGAGGCCATTCTGTCAGGCGTTGCAGGGCTGCTGTGATGTAGAATTGATGGTGGTGGGTTTGGGTTTTTAGAGGATCTGAGATCACAGCCCTAGGTCCCTATTGTTGTGATTGGGAGGCCCTGGGGGCTCAGCCCACTTCACAGCAGCTGTCTACTCTGTGATGCGTCCAAGGCAGGTATGTCACCTGTGACACTGGATGGGGAGACGCAGCACCTGAGGGTGCCATGCTTGGTGCCTTGGAGAAAGCGTCCTGCACCCTGGTAGAGTCACAGCTTTTTCTGTGCCCCAGAGGCACCTCTCATCCACACAGGACAGTGCTCATCTGAGGAAGGAGGTCCCATCATGATGTCACAGACAGTGTCACCGCCCTTCTACGCTGCACCATGTGGAGCTGGGCGGGGAGCTAGACTGCTCCCAGGTCCCTGATGCCCACAGGTGGAAAGCCACCTGACACCTCTGCCTGCATGGCCACCAGGCCCCTCTGCTGGGTGCGCCTGTGTCTCCTGGGCACAGGGACATCCGAAAATTAAGGTTCCACATTATCTTCTCAGTAATGATGACAATGGCTTTTCTTATTGTCTACTCACATTCTGGCTTCTAACAGAGCACACAGCAGCTGGCGTCACCCAGACACCTAGACAAGTGGTGGCAGAAATGGGACACACAGTGACCCTGAGATGCGAGCTCATTTCAGACCACACACTCTGTTCTGGAACAGACAGACCTCTGTGCAGGGCCGGCAGATGCTGCTTCATTTCTGAAGCCAGACTCATAGAGCAGAAGCTGCTCAAGGGCCAGGTCTCTGCTGAAATGCCCAGTGGGTCTGACTCTACCCTCAGGATCAAGTCTGCAGAGCTGGGGGGTTCAGCTGTGGACCTCCGTGCCGGCAACTTAGCCACAGTGCTGTAGATCAATCACCCCCACCCTGTACAGGAACCTCCTCCTCCTCCTTCCCCATCCCCCACACCATACACAGGCAGGACCTCCTCTCGAACAAAGACAGGCCAGACTGAGGGAAGAGGAATACTTGGAATGGCAAGGAGGCAGCGCTGGAAGTGTGGATAAGGGGTCCAGGGACCATTCAGTGAGAAGGTGACCTCTGAACAAAGACTTGTAAGACGTGAGGGAGAGATGCGCACACTTTCCAGGGGAAGAAAGCCCGGCTGAGAGAGGAGTTGGCTCTTGGGCTCTCGCGGGTATTCACAGTGTGGCAAAGAGACCAGGATTACGGGAAATCAGGAGAGATGAGGGAGAGAGATGGTTATAGCATCAGAAAGGAGACAAGCCACAGTTTGTCAGGTGAGACCTCCAGAGCCTTAAGAACCTTGACTTTTTTTAATTTTTAGTGAAGTTGAGGTAAGTAGACTAATCAAACCATGACATTTCCATTCCTTTCTATGCATCTAAAAGGTGGAGAAGGCTTAAGGGAGACTGAGGTAGAATTGATGCCTTTGAGTTGTGGTGTTGGAGAAGAGCACTGACCCTCCCGTGAACTGCTGAAAGGACAAGTAGGTCTGCCGTGGAGGGAGTGCAACCAGGGCGCTCCTTGGAGACACGGATTTGTTGCTAGGTGCCGTTGAACTTTCGTGCCCCTGTAGTCACCTTCTAGTGAACAACGGACCTGGGCCCTGCCCCATCCTGTGCCATCCTCATCCCTGATATTTCTGAGCTCATTCCTGCTGTCACCCTGTCTGTCCATCTCACTGAGACCTTCCTCCCCTTCACTGACCCTCCACCTTTCCAAGCATGACGTCCTTTCCCAAGGACTGGCCCCTTCTCACAAAATGCCAAAAATACGTGAGACAAGGTTTCATCATCTTTGCCTCCAAGGAGCACTGGGGCTGTACATGGTGAAGCTTTGTCCCACATACCTTGGTCATGTTTTCAGAAGGCGTCAGTCCTTGGAGAAGGGCACCGTGCCAGGACAGGTAGAGGGTCAGTGGAAGAGAGGTAGACCCTCACCACGATGGATGACACTGTGACGATGACAGTGGGCTCTAGAATGTCAGAGACGCTGAGGCTGGCCCAGGGGAGGACAGGGCTCAGACGTGTTGCTCAGAGGGTGACTAAGTCATAGTGGAAATCAACAGCATCTCCCAACCATCAGATAATCCGGACCCCTCAACTTGCGGACCTCAAAGCTGCGTTTGCACCCACCTAAAGGTCCTGTGGAAGTAAGGCCTGGAGATCTGCGTCTGTAAGGATTTCAGCCAAGAGAGCCTTATGGGCAGTTCTGTCCCGTCACCCAGACTCACCAGGGGTCAGAATCAGCTCCACAGATGTGGGTTTGTTTGTGGGTGTATTTATCGTACGACAATCACAGAAAGTATCTTGTCCCATCTCCTGTTATTATCTCATCAAACTGAGACTCCACCTGCAGGCACCTCCTCACACCTTGTTATTAGTAAGAGAGATAAGTCTCCCAGGTGGAACGAAACGTGAACAGAACGTATCTGCTTCCATTTTGGAGGAGGTTTGATGACGACGGTGACAATGGTGACAGTGCTGTTTATTTTTAAGTTGCAGATGTATAGAATAAGTTCACTTCCAACTGCTCTTAAAGTAGAGGAATTAGAAAAGAGTGAAAAGATGGGGTAATGGTGGGCATAGATCAATGGTGATTAATTTTTTTAAGATAGAATGCATGAGAATGATCATAAGAAACACAATGTGAATGAAAAAAATTATTTTAACAATTTTAATGAAAACATTTCTTTAAGTCCATTTTTTAGTAGGATAGCCAGACCCGTAATCCAGCACTAAGCTAGTTCCCCTTTCTCCAGAGGGCGGGTGTCTTAGTGGCTGTGGGGGGGCTGCTGATAAGCCGTTGGATGCACCGTAAATCCTCTGTGGGGAAATGTTTCAGAAAGAAACAAAAGGAAAGTTCCTGTTATAAAAGAAGTGGCAGGTGTGGGGACCACATGACAGGAAGCTGTACGTGACGTGGACATCAGGGATGTTTCAGGCAGTGTTCTGGTCTGTGTCCCCCAACATTTGAAGGGATGCATTGTGGTAACCGTGAAGGTAGACATGCCTTCAGTGAATATTGGAGATTTAAAGAATCAAACGAAAGAGCTAGAAGACTTACTGACTTCAGTCCATACCTGTAATGGTTGAGGGTACACATGTCGTCAGAATGAGGAGGTGGGAGGGTTTCTAAGCCCCACAGTGTCTCCGTGAAGCACAGGGGTTTCCCTCTAAGGAAAGAAACTGGTAGAGATCTTCTCACTGGCCACAAGGCGGCATCATGGTGCCACTGAGAGCCCAGAGTTGTAGAGCATTTCTCAAGGATCCCTGTAAAGGCAGACTCGCTGGAGGAGTGCCTTGTGGGGGTGCTGTTAGGGGGGTCCCTGGGAGGTGCAGCAGGTGAAGCCTTTGTCTGCTGACTGAGAGGATGGAGGTTTGAATCCATCTAGAGTCAACTCTAAAGAAAGCTGGTGATCTGCTTCCAAAACAGGTACTGGGTGTCTGCAGACTCTCTATGGTGGCTGGGACCCTGTACACGCACCCCGAAAACCAAGGGCCTTCAAGGCCCTCATCGCTGCTCTGCCCAGTGGGGCTCAAGTCTGCATGCTCTCAACACCACCCCACTTCCACTTTGGCCAAACCAACTGTACCCCAGAATTTCTACGCCAATTTCCAGCCAGTAAAATTCCAGCACCTGAGGGTGACGATGAAGTCTGTGTGTTTGAGAGCAATGTCATTGCCTGTTACACGAACAATGGGGAGATGCGGGGAAGTACCCCAGACGCAGCAGCCCCTGTGGGTGAGCTCCGCTGACAGCGACATCGTCCCCACCGCCAGCCTTTGCGTGATCCCCATCACGCACCACAGCAAGCAGAAACCATCATCATCGAGTCCATCCCAATTCACAGCACCCACGTGACTGGTGGAACCCCCGCAGGGTTTCCACAGCTGTGCTCTTTACACAGGCAGACTGCCTCACCTCCCCCACACAGCGACTGGGGGGATCCACCACCACCACCCCACCCCACCCCCCGCCTTCCAGTTAGCTCTTAACCACTGAGCCTCGGGGCTCCCCAGGCCACTGACCATCCTCTAGAATGTGAGAAAACGGGGGCTCGGTGATGAGCTCTGGATGGACGTGGGACAAATAAAAAAAGATCTGCTCTCAACTGGCTGTGAACCTGTACGCCAAGGACAAGCAGGAGCTGAACGTAAGATCTGAAAGGAGTGGCTCTGACGCCGTGATGTCAGCTCTGTCACCACAGGCAAATCCAGCCGAGACCCTGAGGTCAGAGCCATGGGTCCCCGCATGCTTCCCTGTGTGCTCCTTTGTCTCCTGGAGGCAGGTGAGTCCCGGGCAGGACTGCCCAAGGGTCTCGTTGTTGGTCCTGAAGTCCCTGGGTGGTGCAGTTAACACACTTGGCTAATAAATGAAAGACTACAGGTTCAAGTTCACCCAGAATCACCTTGGGAGAACATTCTTGCAATTTACCTCCAAAATAGGAGTCACTGAAACGGATGGAGCCCAGTTCTACTCTGACACACGCAGTGTCTCCCTAAGCCAGAGTTGGCTCGTGGGCACCTGGACTGGTCCTCAGGCCAATGATTTTCTCTTGTGTCAGTGACATCAGTCTCCTTGACCCTAAGTTCTCCTTTCCTCTCCGCAGGTCCCATGGTTGCTGTGGTCACCCAGAACCCAAAATACCAGGTTGCCAGGGTGGGGAAGTTGGTATCTCTGAGCTGTTCTCAGAACCTGGGTCATGATGCCATGTACTGGTACCAGCAGAAGCCGGGCCAAGCTCTAAAGCTGCTGTTCTACTACTATGATACGACCTTCAACAATGGAACAGATACCTCCGACAACTTCCAGCCCAGCCGGCCCAACACTTCCTCCTGTGGGCTGAGCATCCGCTCACCAGCCGTGGGAGACTCGGCCGTGTACCTGTGTGCCAGCAGCAGAGACACAGAGCTTCAGTGTCGCTCTCCCTCTACTCATAAACCCACCAACCTCCAGCTCCCAGAGCCTCTCTGGGGCCCCTCCTTCGTAGGGCGGCAGCAGGAAGTGGGCTCATGGCTGCCATGATTTCCTCGGTGCCATAAGCCTGCAAAACCCGTTCCCGTCACTGAGGGCAGAGATGCATCTACCCTGGTAGTTAGGCGTCTCAGTGTGCGGTATTTTCTCAGGATCACCTTCACCACTCACTCTGTCTTTACAATACTGTTTCAAAGGTTAACTTATTCTTTCCTCTTAGAGACCTGTTCCTATTTTTAAGTTATTTTTTCCCATGAACTGTCTCACTTTCTCTTGTTGTCATCGCACTGACACTGGCTCACAGCTGACCCTCCAGAGGGTTTTCAGAGTTTGTACTTCCTCTCATGGATCCACTGGTGGACTCGAACCTTCTTCCTTTAGATTGGCAGCAAAACTTGTTACACACTAGGCCACCAGAGCTTGCTTTATCTAAACTAGAGTTAGACATATAAGGGGCATTTATGCAAAGAATTAAACTCCAGTGCACATGAACTTGATTCTGCAGCATTTGATCAACTCCGAGGATATCCAATGTGCCAGAAGAACCCAGCAACTTCCACAGTAATAAGACAGCAAAACTGGAAATATACTTCCAAGCAAAGATCTTAAAAGAAGAAGTAATTTCAGCAAAACAAACAAACAAACAAAAGAAAAAACCCACTACACTAAACTGCTTTTACATGGAGTTAGAGCTGTTGGAATGGCCACATAGAAACCCTAAATAGATGATCAGACTGAGATGAGAATGTGCTTGGAGATGCCTCTGGTGGAATCATCTGTGAGGGAAAGGGTTCTAAGTGCCCCCAAAGCACACGAGCACTCCAGGGAAGGCCACAGGAGGGGGGAAGGCTCCTTTCCTCTTTATTAAATGAAATGCTTTGTGCACAGCCACTGGGGAATGTGATGTTATAGTTTATCCCTTGGGGAGCAGGGGGTTGTGAATTCAGGCAAAGCCTATAAAGAATGAATGATAAGATTGTGGTTGTGTTTTTATGTGCCGTTGAGTTACCTGTGACCCATAGCAACCCTATGTACAGCAGCTCTGAAGCCTGCCCTGCCCTGCCCTGAGCCAGTCTCACTGATTCCAACACACCAACCCCACTGCCACAGTCACTGTGTCAATCCATCTCATCTGAGATTGTCTTCCCCTGCGTTGTCCATCCACCCTTCTGAGCACAATGTTCTTCTCCAAGGATCGGGCTCTCCTGGCCACATGCCCTAAGTATATGAGCTGGAGCTTCAAAATCCAAACCTCTAAGGAGAAACTTGATCTCACTCTCTCCAAGACAGACCTATTTGTTTTCTTGGTGGTTCATGATATGCTCAAGACTCTTCTCCAGAACTACAATTTGAAGGCATCAATTCTTCTACTGTCATCCTTAATCATTGTCCAACTCTTTGATGCATAGCAAGTAATTGTGAAGATCCTGGCCTGAATTAGGCACACCTTAATGTCTAAATTGACATCATTGTTTTTCAGTACTATGGAGAGGCCCCTGACAGCAGGTTTTTCCAGTGCAATTAATCTTTTTATTTCCTGACTACTGGTGCCAAGAGTGCTGACTGTGGAGCCAAGAAAGCTGTAATTGTTAACAATCTCAATCTCTTCCCCACCTATCATGGTGCTGCAAGTTGGACCAGTGGTAAGAATCTTTGTCTTCTTGATGTTGAGCTTCAATCCATATTGAAGACTACAGTCCTTGACCTTCTACAGTAAGTGCTTCAAGTCCTCCTCAGTTTCAGCAAGCAAGATTGTGTAATCTGCATAGTGTAGGTTGTTGATGAGTCTACCTACAATTCTAATGCCACATTCTTCCTCATAAAGCCCAATTTCCCAAATGATCTATTCTGCATGTAGATTGAAAAGGTATGGCGACAGGAGGCATCCCTGATATACTCCTTTCCTGACTTTGAACCATTTTAAGATTACCTACATAAAAATATTGAACTCTGCCTACTAAAAAGAGCAATAATATTTCAAGGGTAGTGCAAAAGAGATTTTTATGAATTATTAGCATGTGCTTTAGTGATATAAATGCTATTAAATGCCTGCTTCTGTCAACAAGGAAGGAGAAAAGGAAGGAGTTAGGAGAGGGAGAGAGGGGTATGCAGGAAGGAGGGTGGGCATGCAGCCAGAGAGAGAAAGGGAAGGAGGGAGGGAGGGAGAGAGGATGAGAGGAAAGAGAAAAGGAAAAGAAGGGATGGAGAGAGAAGGGCATTAACTTCAGGACAATCTAAGAAAGTTTCCACAAAGCTGTCTAGGGTGCTTAAACCAAAGGAATCCCTTTGTCTAGAACTAAAGTATTAGCATGGTATGTATGAAACAACTATATACAAAACAAACACAGGTGCATTTCAGGAAAAGCAGGCAATAATTGGACAACTTCTATACACAGGGAAGCAAGCACACATACACAGAGATGGGGACATAAGGAACACACAGGAAGAGAGCACAGACATGGACAGCAAGGCCAACGTGCTGAGTGGGTGAGGCAACAGCTCAAGTTAGTAGAGGCCAAGAGGGCCAGAATGTGTGAGGAAGACGGGCAGAGAGAAGAAAAGAACAAGGAGTTACAGAAAGAAATAAATCCAGACCCTGAAAGGGCTCCCTGCATAGGGACAGCCTGGGGATACTTAGAAGACACATGAGAGAAACCCAGTGAGCAGTTGCTAGTGTTCCCATGTTGACTAAGGTTGGATGTTGTTGTTGTTTTTAAGTGCCATCTAGTCATAAGTGACTCATAGTTACCCCATGAATGAAAGTCCTCGACACTGTGTGAGTGACTTTCGTCCTTTCTCCAGACTCAAAGGGTTTTCAGAGGCAAGCTATTACAGAACTGGATGCCACTTCTGCTTCCAAGCTTGTTTTAATCAGGGAGCTCCACCAAACTCTGTCCACCATGGATAACCATTATCAAATTTGATATATCAGTGTCACAGTGTTCAGCTTCACAATGACCACATGTTAGCTCTGTACGGCAAGTGGGCATGCCAGGGCTATAGGACCTAGAAGACTGAACAAAAACAATGAAAAACAGGCCCTCAGGCCCTTCAGTATCTTCCCACTCCGGCACGCCCAAATGCTTGGACAGTGGAGGAAATGCAGCCCAGGACATGAGTTAGCAAACACAGCCCACAGACTGTCACCCCGAGAGGAGAATTCCCAAAATGCTGGCGTGGAGAACTCCACAGACTTGCTCTGATGTGATAACCTTCCTGGAGGGGAAAAAATATCCCCATTTAATGTCTCTGGAAATGTTCTCAAAGCATACAGCACATGGAGACACATTTACCCAGGAAATGTGCTGAATCTTAACATCTGTGACATTTGAGTCTTGACACTTCCCTGCCCAGCTCAGAGTGATAGAAGTTCTGCAGACGGATCTAAACCATGGATTTTCCCCATTCCTTGCCCACAGCCTAGGGCTGCAGCTTCTCCCTAGAGGGGCAGACTGCCCAGTTCTGTGATACAAGTCCAGTATGCACAGCCAGTATATCTGAGCTTTCTTCTTTCACCCAGAGTTCTTTCCTGGGTACATCAGGCCAGCAACACCGGGCCTGGTCTTCCTCACTCAGCTTGTTCACAGACAGGAGCAAGGAGAAGGTTCCCTGTGAACAAGTACAAACCAAGGAGCCAACTCAGCATTTTACTCCTGGATGGAATGCTCTTTCAAGAGACTCAAAGAGAGATCAACAAAACCCATTGTCACTTCTGGGGAGGTCAGGGGCCAGAGGGACTATGCCATGCCAGCTGGGACATGAGGGGTTATGGACACAGAATTATATCAAGAGTGTATGTCCTCTGAGAAGTGAGAGGTCAAGGAGAAAGCGCTGTGCCAAGGTCACACCTGAGAAGTGACAGCATCCGAGACCACACATGGGAGAGGACATAGACTCACTGACCCACAACAGTTAAGTTGATAAACAAAAACAATTAAACAAGGTAAGGCAGAGTATGGAGCAAAGAAACCAATGTCCAGCTGTGGAGTGTTTGACATGGAAAGTTTAGATCCATTCAAAGTACTTAAAGAAAAGAAAAAAGCAAATCTGTCAGTGAAAAGTCTTATACCCAGCAAAACTATCATTCAAAAACAAAAGAAAAAGAAAGGCATTTACAGTCAACACAAACTGAGACAATTTGTTGCTGATACACGTCTTACATGAAACACTAAAGGAGTTTCTTAAAACGAAAAGACAGTAATATTAGTAAAATATACTGTGTGATTCAATGAAAAAGAGTACCAGAAAGGTTAAGGAGCCGTCTTGAGTGACCTTGGGTGTCTGGTGTCTGCTAGCCCACTGGTGACTCTGAGCTTTCAGCCAGGGATGTCCCAGAGCTGCATGTTCTCCCTCCCAGCTCTCCTCACAAGCGTTGGTGTCCCACAAATACCTGGTGCTATGATGGGTAGCCAAGTCCTCCGCTGCTGCCCAGCCCTCTGCCTCCTGGGCACAGGTGAGTGTGGACTTGGGGACCCCTGCACACTAGGCAGTCCAGTCCTCAGATGCTTAGGGACAGCAGCATCCAGCAGCCCCTCGGGGATAACAGAGGTGCCTGTCCATCAGTTCCCAGGGACAACAGTGTCCATCAGCCCTTCAGAGATGGCAGTGTCCATCTACCAGCCCCTCAGGGATGTCAGTGTCCATCAGCCCTTCAGGGACAGCTGTGTTTGTACATCAACCCCTCCTCTGGATTCAGCTTCTTTCACAGGGCCTGAGGCTGGTCTACTTCTCACCAGTCACAAGTGACGTTCAGAAAAGGGACATGGCTGCAGGCTTCAGCAGGTCTCAGGAGAGGAGGGAGAGCTTCCCTCTCACGGTGACAGTCACGCAGGGGAAGCAGATAGTGTTGCGTCTCTGGGCCAGCAGCTCCGGCACAGAGCCCTGCAGCTACCACATCCCTGTGCAGGAAGGTGCCCCTCTTTGCCACCCCCACCAAAGGGCTGTGCCTTCTGCATCCTCCACTCCAACCAGGCACCTGGGATAGCTGCGTAGAATGAACGGGGGGATGAAAGTGAGGTGCTTTGGAGAAAGCACCTGAGACACTAAATACACAGCATGACCCAGCAAAACAGGCAACAAGCACGTCCAAGTAGAAAGGAAGCCTCTAGATCTCAGGCTCATTTGTTAGCCAAGGCACAGCTGTGACACCCACTGCAACAGAATGAGGAGAACCGAGCGTGTCTCCAGTCCTCACACACCAGTGAGCAGACAGCCCTCGATGAACGTGTCTGGAAGCAGCCCTTGGTCTGTGCGGGGAGCTATCATGTGATAGTCGTGATGTATACTCCACATTAGAAAATGACAGGGTGTCCCCTCACCAAAGCCAGTGCTCAGGCGTGGGTTCTGACTCTCAGCAACCCTAAAGAACTAAGCAGAGCTGCTCCAGGGAGTTCCTGAGGTCATAAATGCATATGGACACACACTGCCTCCTCTTTCTCCTGTGAGCAGCTGGCCAGAAGCCCAGCTCTTGACCACTGCACCATCCACCCCCTTCATCCGATCACCAGTCAGGAGAAACCCTGAGCCTCCCATGAGGACCTCCAGTGCTCACCTGGATGTGGTTGGTTAACAGCTTGGAGTTGTGTCTGACAAGGGGTCAGAGGCACAGAGGTGGAGACCTGAGGACGAGGTAATGCACACAGTGCAGCCCCCTCCCGCTGAGAGAGCCGTGGTGCTTCTGCTGGTCTTGGTGTTGGTGGTGTTGGTGGAGTTGGTGTTCACTGCTGCAGAGTTGATTCTCACTTATGGAGACCTGAGGACGATATAATGCACACAGCACACACAGACCTCCCCTGCTGACAGAGCAGTGTTGTTGTTGTTGTTATTCACTGTTGCAGAGTTGATTCTCATCCGTGGAGACCTGAGTGGAGCACCAAGAGCCACTTCCAAGTTCATGGTCTAAGCATCTCTCCTACAGAGTCAGCAGCTGGTTGAGGTTGGCGTTCTCTTTAGCAGCAGCTGGTCCTCTGATTGCTGAAGAAGGATGTAGGTTACATCCTGGTGAGGTCACCAGGGGGCAGAGCTGAGAACCCCAAGAGGAGTTTTTAGGGGTGCAGAGGCTTAGAGCAGGGCCAGTCACCCGGGAGGAGGGGTGGTGAGAGGCCGGTTTCCGATGCTGTTGCTGCTGCTGCTGCTCCTGGGGCCTGGTACGCACGGCCATCACGTGTCCAGAGTGTGTGTGTGCCCATGTGTGTAGTGTGAATGTGCGTGAGTGGCTGTGTGCCTGTGGATGAATGTGTGTCAGAGTGTGCATGTGTGCGTGCCTGTGTGAACATGTGTATGTGGGCAGGTGTGTGTGTGAGCTTGTGTTAGCATCTGTGTGAGTATACATGAGTGGGGGTGTGTATAAGTGTGGGTGGATCTGTGGCTTGTTATGTGTGTGTGTGTGTGTGTGTGTGTGTGTGTGTGTGTGAACATGGGAGAAGCTGGTGCTGGTCACAGTGAGGGGCCAGCTACAGGGTGTGTATGAACGTGTGTGTGTGTGAGAGAGAGAGAGGAGTGTGGGCATGGGAGCGTGAGCATAGGAGAAGCAGTACCTGGGGACAGAGACACTGGTGCTGGTCACAGTGAGTGGACAGCTGAGAGAGAGAGACAGAGAGAGAGAGAGGCTGAGAACAGAGCCCCTGGTGCTGCTCAGGGTGGCATTGGAAACCATTGTCTCCCAGGGGCAAAAAGCAGGGTGAGAGGCCCCGAGTCAGGGGTGGGCTTGGGAGCTGTCACCGAACACAGGCCTCCCTGAGGTTGGGGCTCTGCCTGGGGTCACATGCGCCAGGTCTGCAGCCCCTCACCCTTCACCTCTGTGCCCCAGGCTCCGGGCTGGGGGCATCTGTCTCTCAGCACCCCAGCAGGGCCATCTGCAGGAACGGAGCCTCGGTGAAGATCCAGTGTCACGCAGAGGGCGTCCAGGCCACCACGATGCTGTGGTATCGGCAGCCGCCCACACAGGGCTTCACCCTCATTGCAACATCCAATCAGGGCGCCGATGCCACCTACGAGCAAGGCTTCTCCAAGGCCAAGTTCCCCATCAGCCATCCCAACCTCAGCTTCTCGGCCCTGACGGTGACCAGTGCCCAGGCCGAAGACAGCAGCCTCTACTTCTGTGGGGCCAGTAACACAGCACCTGGCAGACACAGGAGCCCCAAGCAAGAACTTCTGTCTGCCGTCTCCCCTCTGCTCCCTCAGGCTGCGGGCTCAGTGAGGGCAGGGAGAGGAAGGTACAGGGGAGGAGACCAGTGCTGCTTGTGTGGAGACAGCTGTGCGTCTGTGTGTGCGCATGCGTGTGTTTGAAGAGAGACTGAGAGGAGAGAGAGAAGAGAAAGTCTGTGAGTACATGTATGGATAGTATCTATGTGTGTGTATACGTGTACAGTGTGTATGCAAAGTGCATGTGTATGTATATATGTATGGAAAGGCCAAATGTGCATCTAGAGAAGGTGTGTGTCCACGTGTGCTTGTGTGCGCGTGATACAGATGATGTGTGAGCATGTGTGTAGAGTGTGTGTGTGGACTGTGTGTATGTAAACAGAGTGCACGTGCATGTACACAGGTACAGACGTAGAGAGAGTCTGCATGTGTGGTGAGAGAGTCTGTCTGTCTGTGCCAGATGATGTCTGATACAGTATCTGAGTGTGGAGTGTGGAGGTCACAATGCCTGAGTCCCAGGCAAGCAGCTCAGTTCTAAAGCTATACTGTATCCGCTGACATGGAGACACCCCTAGGCTGAAAATTAGAAACCCTTTCCTTTTTTCTGTCCTGACTCTGCCACATGTTAATCATGAAAAATACTGTTTTTGTATAAAACAAGCATGCACGCTCTCTGGCAACTATAGCTGTTGAGTATTGCGTTGATTCTGAAATCCCATGGCCTACACACTTCCTCTGACTCTGTGGCCCTTTTTGTAACATCTGTTGTGCGTGTCCCCTTCTGTGTTATTCAAATAATCTGGGTCTCTGACAAGATGGAGATGTGAGGCTGATATCAAAATGTTTCTTATCTAAAAAGGCAAGAAACCAAATGTATGGACACGCCCTTTTCCTCTATCACCTTGATGTTAATGGAACTTCAATCGTTTAACTTTGTATCAACCTTTCTGTAAAACATAACCTTGTGGATGTTGTGGTCAGGGGCCCTGCCAGCTGTCTGATTCTCCCATTCTATCTTCTTCCCTATAGCATGCTGGAATAAACTATCTCTTTCTAATTTTTTGCATCTGGAGTGGTACTGGTTTTTTTCTACAACATAATCGGAAAGGTTTGATCCAGATAGACCATAAGACACTTTTAAATTACAATGAGTATGGACTTCATGTGATATATGTTGGCTTAGTTTTCCCCAGAGTCCTGGGCATTTTCTTGTCACGATGCTGGCCTTGAAGAGAAGGAGGGACACAGAGAACTTTACTGAGGATGAGGGGCTCTGACTGAAGGATGGGAGACAGAAAAGGCCAGGAACAGAGCAAACACTGGCAGAACCAGCCCCTGAGAGGGGAGAGCAGGCAGAGGCACAAACAAGGAAGACCTTGAATGACATGACGTGTCTAAGGGTCTAGAAAGCTGTGAGAAGACCCTAAATGTAAGCCCGTTCAGAAAACCCCTTCCCGGAGGAAACCAAAACTCACAGTGACGCTCACTCAGGCGTGACCCTGTGGAGAGCAAACACAGGCACGCTTAAGGTTCGCTGAGATGATGACAGTGGGGAGATTTCCAGTAGAGTTGGGTGGGTGAGGAAGACCGAGTCAGAGGAAGATCGTGGCTGACTTTCAGACCAGGAGCCACTGGGACGGGATTCCAGAATCAGCTGGAGGTTCAAGTCCTGGATGCAGGGATGGATGGGGGGTGGGGGGAGGAAACAGCTCAGCACGCAGCCCAGCCGGACTCTGGAAGTGCACAGGACCCCTCGATGAGAGGATGATGGTGAGAAAGGCAGAGAACCTGGGACAGAGATGGAGGAACACACCCACCTGGAGTGCGCCTGGGAAGGTGGAGGAGACGAGGTATATGGACCCCCACGCCGTATTCATGGTGCGACGATTCAGTGGAGGGTGCTGGCAGGTCACCAGACGACACCCACTCCTTCCCAGCCCCACTCAATGATGCTCCCGAGGTCTGAGGCTGCCTTACCTGCCTGAGCTTCCACTCCCACTGACATGAGGACAGAAAAGGGGTCAGCAGGCAAAGGTGACGCTTTGACCACCAGGGGGTGATGTGGGTCTTTCTGTAAAACGCCCGACATCCTCTTCACCTGGGAAGAGAAGCTGACAGATGAGAATGTGGATGGATTAAGGCTTCCCGGGACACCAGCAGATCCTAAAGTGGCAGCAGCCCCGTCGCACCGACCACAGAACTGGCTTCTGTGTTTGTCTAGTTCACAAACAGCAGGCAAACACGTGCGTGGAGGAAGATGGAGAGATGGAGAGAAAGATGGTTGAGATGTGAGATAGGTCAGAGACAGTGAGGCTGGCACAGGATAGAGCAGGGTTTAGGGCTCTTGTACATGGGGTCGCTATGAGTCACAAGCACATAACAACAACCACAATAATATATCACATGAATCTACTCAAAACAAAGCTGTTTTTCCAGAAGCCCCCCACCCCCTGGTGTGGCATTAGGAATAAAAAGGGGTTTTAATACTTGAATAGTAACATGGTGAGGGAGGGGGCAAGAATGAAGTTGTTAGTGATTTTATTTTCTTTTACTTGGATCCACAGGCACTACTCATGATAGTAACAAACAATGGAAGTCAAGAAATCAAAAGACGTGTTGCCTTGGAGCGATCTGCTGTCAAGCTCCAACGTGCTAAAAACCAAGAATGTCCATTTAAAACTAGAGTGACCTACCTCAGGCCATGGTCATTTCAGCTGCTTCCTGCGCATCTGAGAGTCAGACACTGAATAAGGAGGACAGAAGGACAGACGCCTTTGGATTGTGATGATGGCAAAGAGCGTGGACTAGTTGACAGGCTGTCAAAGAGTGAACAAGTCTGCCTTGGGTGAAGTACATTGGGGTGCTGCCTGGTGGTGAGGATGGTGGAACTCTGTGTCACATGTTTTGGGGCATGTTTTCAGAAGGATCCAGCCTATGGAGAGAGACTTCATGCTGGGAAAGACGCAGTCAGTGAAGGAGAGGAAGATGCTCAATGAGATGGATCGAGGCGGTGGTCATGACAACGGTGGCCATGACAACGGGCCGTGAAGAGACGGGGGGCAGAGTGAGGTCCAGACCCGTTCCATGAGGTCACCATGAGCCATAGTTGACACTATGACACCTCACAACAACAACAATCGTATTTTGGGAATATACCCTGAAGAGACCATAGTTGACATCCAAGCAGATATATGCACACCCATGTTTATTGCAGCTTTGTTCACAATAGCAAGGAGTTGGAAACAACCTAAGTGCCCACCAACAAACGAATGGCTAGAGAAGATGTGGTATATTCACACAATGGAATACTATGCTGCATTAAAAAACAAGAAACTCATGCAATATTATTCAAAATGGTTGACTCTGGAGAACATTATGCTGAGTGAAATATCCCAGTCACAAAAGGACAAATAGTACATGATGCCACTGTTGTAGAATGGGACTAACCTCAGGGTTGGGGAGAGACTGAGTAAGATGGGTTCAATAATGTATACTGCACTGAAACAGAGGAGGGAGAAAACTGTGTAAAAGAGATATGTGACTAGGTATTTCTGTCATCACAGGAGTCTAGAGCGATGGCTACATGGTGGAGGGGACCTGGGGGAGGGTTTGTAAAACAATGAAAGAATCTTTTCTTTTACTTTTCCATAATTTTTGACTCATGTACTTATAACTTGTTAAATTTGTGTCTTCTAGGTTGCAACACCCCCATGATACATCTTCAGGGATATGAACATGTACGGCTAAGCACAATTAATAACAGTGCATCTAAATTCCAAAATCAATCTCCATAATAGTCTATGTGTTTCCTACTGCCAAAGGGGCCCTTTAGAGTAGTGAGAGAAGATCTTCACCCTGAAACCCACAGCGTCCCTTTTCAGCAGGAAGTAGCTAAGAGAATACGCCATCCCCTTTTCCTTATGAATCAGGGTGAAGTCTCTCTCAGGGAGGAGTGATAGGGAATGGCAAAGGACACACCGACAAAGGAGATTAATCAGAACTGACTTTGACAAGCACTGTGGCAATTGGACAATTAAAATAGACATTCGGATGGCGGGGAAGAAGAACAAACTGGGGAGGAGGGTAGAGAGAATGGTGCGGTAATGAAGGAGTGAAAGCCCAGAATCCCTGTGAATGTTCATTAAAACTAATAAAATTTAATAAAATAAAAACAACAACAACAACAAAAAAAAACAAACAACAACAATCGTATTTGAGTAAGGGTGTCAAAAGCCCCTGGACTGGGGCAAGGGGTTCACAAGGGGACCCTGAACAGTGTTCTTTGAGAATGAGATTGGCCTGGGGGTGGATGAACGAAGGATCGGTAGTCTCCCTATGACTCAGAGGATGAGAGATTAAAATTCGCAGCCCTGGTGTGTGTGAACTAGGCAGTCTGAAAGTATTCAAAGTCTTGACGTCTTAAATCCATGAAGAGGCTTAGAAGCGCCTTTCTCTAAGGACAGTTGCTCAGATCCCAGAATCCTGCTCCCTGAAGAAGTCGTCCCCTTCCTGCTACCCAACAGGAGCAGAGTCTCACAGTCTCTCCCCAGGAGCCTGTGCTTTGACTATAAAGTCAAATAGTAAAGAGGAAACTGAGGGGCATTTCTGAGCATGCTGAAAGCATTCTGTACCGTAATCCGGCTGTAGTTGTATGGGTGAATCCATATGTGAAGTTTCTTGAACTGTGTAATTAAGATTATAGAAGCTCTTGTGGCCTGGTGGGTAAGGAGTTGTACTGCCAACCCAAAGATAGGCTGTTTGAGTCCTCCCAGCAGTTCCTGAGAGAAAGCTGGGCCGTCTCCTCTGGGAGAGTTCCAGCCTTTGACACCACTGAAGGGTCAGCCATCACTTGGTTCCAGCTCAACAGCACACAAGGCAACATCATGAGAAACAGAGAAAATACCGAAACTGTAACGATTTTATTTCACTTGGATTCACAAGCAATAGCCAAAGAAGTGGCCGTCAAGAAATCAAGAAGATACTCCTCAAAAAGCTGAACATAGAAATTCCATATGACCCAGCTATTCCACTACTTGGAATATACCCTGAGAATATGAGAACTGAGGTACAAACTGAGATTTGTACACCAGTGTTCATAGCAGCATTATTCACCATCGCAAGAACATGGAAACAGCCCAAATGCCTAACCACAAACAAATGGATTGAGAAATTATGGTTCATTTAACAATGGAATACTATGCAGCACCCAGGAGCAATGATTTTGTAAATTATTACCTAATTTGGGAGGAACTGGAGAGCATTATGTTGAGTGAACTAACTCAGTCCCATAAGGATAAATATTGTAGAAGACCCTTATTGTAGAATGAGTATAAGGATCCAGGAGGGGTGGGAGAGGTTGGAAGCAGAGGGATGAGGATGTGCAGAGGGAGGGGGGATTAATCATGCGGTTGTACAATTTGATGAGGGTAAGAGTGAGGGAAATTGAAAGAATTTGTTCTTGAATGCAATGTATTCGAATTTTGTAAATAAACTAGTAGAAACTTTTTTAAAGAAACAAAGGTGGGGGTGGGAATCGGAAGGGAGGAAAGAAATCAAGAAGACAAATGCACTAGGCAGATCTGTCAAAAACTTCTCCAAATGGTGAGGAGGTCAGTTTAAAAACAGAAGTGCAGGGAGACGTTGTGTAGAGGTATTCAGAAAGGTCCAGCGTCTGACCTACCATCACAGAGTGACCTCCAACACAGCCTCTAACCAAACCAGGCTGTCCTGAGCCCCTGGTAACAGAACTGTTTACCTGTATACCAAGAAGGTTGGAAGAGCACCAAAATCTGCATGTGGTGTGTGCCCAGGCCAACTAAGAGGGGTCCATGAGTTCTAAGGTTCTCATGAGGTTGTCAAAACAAAAAACCATGTCGGCAGAGCTCCCGGTGACTCCAGGGGTGCTAAGTGTGACAGGATCAATTGTGCTTCCTTGTTGAGGAGCAGGAAAGTGTTGTGAAAGTACTGAAAGCACACGCACAAAGTCAGAAAGCTAAAGAAAAAATGGCACGTCTTTAAGAAAATCATCTGACTTGTTCTGTTTTTAAAAAAAACACCCAAAAACTGAGGCGCAGAGGGCCGCAGAGGGTGCTGTTTTGTTGAGCACTTAGCAGGTTGGGCGGGCCCTGTCTTGGAGGGTCTCCTGCCTTCTGAGAGGAGGAATGAGGACAGGCTTCCTCTCATGGGGTCCTGACTGACAGACCTGACCAAGGTGCCAGCTATTCCACAGAAAAGAACGGTGGCATATCTAAACACAGTCCAGTTCCTCAACCAGTTTTCAACAGTTTGTGTGGGAAAACTGGCAGACCTTTCTCCTTGAATCCAACAAATTGAAACAACTGTCAATATTTTGACAAAAAAAAAAGACATAAAATAAAAAAATAACAAAATTTTAAAAAGACACAAAGTTGTCCTCTACTCTGGGACTGGATGATGGAGTATTTGAAGTATCTCTGTAACAGTGTCGCTAATGGACCATGATCGGAAGCCACTTCTGGGCAACCACAGCAGAAAAATATGCACGACTCTGGGCCACAGGAAAGTGAAGCAGCTGCAGAAAATACATTAGCTGTGGCCGAGGATCCAAGATAAGCCGGATACCTCACATGGTTCAAGTGGGTGTTTCAGCGTTGGCAATAAGAAACAAAGTGATATCAGAATGAATGGGACCTTCTAAAGACTAAATCCCCGTGGGCATCAAAAACGTTTTCCAACAGAGTGAAAAGAAAACCTATTCACTGGGGAAACAAACATTTGGCAATACCCTTTCAGACAAGGGTCTCATATCAAAAGTTTACAGACTCCTACAGGGCCTCGACAACAATAAGGCTGATCCCACAATTACAAAATGGGAAAAGATGTGTAAAGACTTTTCACAATAAAAGACATTCAGATGGTCAACAGACACATGAAGAAATGCTCAAAATCACTGGCAGTAAGAGATGCAAATCAAAACCACAATGAGATACCATCTTAACGCCAGTAGCAGTGGCAAAGTTTAACCAGACAACAAGTAATAAATGTTGGAGAGGATGAAGTGATAGAGGGACTTTTATACATTGTTGGTGAGATTGTATAATGGTACAACCACTCTGGAAGGTGGCTTGGTGCTTCCTCAGAGAGCTGAACGTAGGAATTCCATACAACCCAGCTATTCCACTGCTTGGAATACACCCTGAGAAAATGAGAACTGAGGCGCAGAGACTTATACACCAATATTCATAGCATCATTATACACCAACACAAGAACATGAAAACAATCCAAATGTCCAACCACAATGGAATGGATTGAGAAATTATGGTCCATTCACACGATGGAATACTGTGCAACCCACATGAACAATGATTTTGTAAATTACTACCTAACTTGGGAAGGACTGGAGACCATTATGCTGAGTGAACTAACTCAGTCCCATAAGGACAAATACTGTATAAGACCATTATTGTAGAACAAGTATGAAAATCCAGAGCAGGGAGGGGAAGAGCAGAGGGCTGAGGATGGGCAGTGGCATGGGAGGGTAATCATAGGGTCACACTATGTGATGGATGGAGGGAGGGGTGAATAAGGAAATGGGAAAGATCCAGTGTGAAAAATAATGTGCACAAACTTTGTAAGTAAACCAGTATAAAATAAAAATTTTATTTATTATAAAAGAAAGAAAGAAATTCTATCAGAAGGCCTCGATCCAGCTCTTTTTGAGTGACCAGATGATGCAGTGCCTGATGAGAAAGTGGAAAAAAAATGCAGAAGAAACTTCGGTGGTGAATCTTCTGTTGGTGACTAAGCTGGAGTTTGGTAAGAACTTCCTAGACATGTGTCGGCATCTGTTTACTGTCTGAAAGGTAAAATTCCTAGCCATAAAATATCAAATGACCACAAACCCACCGCCAAGCCTCCTCCATGTTGTAAAAGAAAGCATTTATGTCCAGGGGTCAGGGAAACGCACTAGAATGCATCTTACTCAGCCACGATCTTTCCAACTGCTTCATATGCATATGGAACCAAGCATCAGATAAGGAAGACCAAGGGAGAGAGGTTGGCTTTGAACTGTGGTGCTGGTGAAGAGGACTGGACAGACCACAGTGTTCAAAAGAGCAAACACATTAGTGTTGGAAGAACTGTAACCAGGCTGCTTCAGAGGGACGACTGGAGATTGTGTCACACACTTGAGCACATTATCAGAACGGTGCAGTCCTTACAGAAGGCCATCGTGCTTGCAGGAGCAGAGATTCCGAGGAGAGGAAGACAAGGTGACCGACAATGGTGCCAGATCAGGTGAACTCTGACTAACAGCCTGATGCAGTGTCCCATGCACCCTCAACGGGAAAATATGACCTTGAATATGCAGGTACTTGGTGTATGACAGAGTTGTCACTACAGTTACATGGGAAAAGAATACGAAATACAGAAGTCACTTTGGGACAGTGGTCATCCATCAGGAAGAGAGGGAATGAGAATCTTCCTCACAGCCTAACCAAATAAACTCTGAATTAATTAAATGCTTGAATGAAAAGTCAAAATTAGAAAATTCTAATACTAAGATGGAAGAATATTTTTATTAAATTAGGCAGTGAAAGGATTTATCCCAAAGACTGAAAATTGTAGCCTCAAAAGGAAAAAAATTACCAACTCTGCCTCTTAAGAAAATGTTAACAACCAGTAAGATTTTAAAAAAAATTATAATATAAACCACAAGATAGTAAAGATGTTAGCAACACATGTAACTGACAAACATTTGGCATAAAAATATGCGAAGGATGGCTCTACTCAGAAAAAGCTAAACTCAAACTTATTGTCACTGAGTTGGAACGGAGTCTCTAGTGGGTTTTAGGAAGCTACGAATCATATGCAAGGCGATTTACCATCTTAAAGAGAATAAAGACTCAATATTATATATCTCAGAGATTCTTGTTCAAGTACTAAAATTAAATGAAGAGTAGGCATATGATCAAACGGAGCTTCAGAACCCTTGCCTCCAAGGAGTAGCCTGGTTTCATCCTCTCTAGGATGGACCTATTTGTTCTCTTAGTAGACCATGGTATATTCAATACTCTTCTCCAGCACCACAGCTCAAAAGGCATTGATTCTTTCTCTATCATCCCTAGTCTAGTCATTGTCCAACTGTCTAATGCACAGCAAGTAATTGTAAAGACCATGGCCCGAATCAGGTGCACCTTAGTCTCTAGACTGGCATCATTGCTCTTCAATACTCTGGAGAGATCTCTGACAGTAGATTTTCCAAATGCAACTTGTCTTCTGATTTTCTGGATGTTGATACCAAGAGTATTGATTGTGGAGCCAAGCAAACTTAAGTTGTTAACAACCTCAATCTCTTCTCCATCTATCATGATGCTGCCAATTGGCCCAATGGTGAGAATTTTTTTTTATGTTGAGCTTCAATCCACATTGAGGATTAGTCCTTGCAGAAGAACATCATGCTTGGAAGACTGGAGTGACAGTGAAAGAGAGGAAGACCCTGGATGTGATGGATTGACTCAGTGACTTGGGAAATGTGGGCAGGTGTGAAAGAGACAAGGAAATTGGCTCAAAATAGAGCAGGACTCAGAGCTGTTGTACATGGTGCTGCTATGAGTGGCAAGCAACTTGATAGCATACAACAACAACAACAACAACAGGCATATGGTAAATTATCTGCAGGATGTGTGTAAATTATAAAGTTATGTGATAAATTAGCAGGAAAATGATTAATTGCAAGCTGAGATGCATCTAAACTGTATTCTCAATTGCTTCAATGCATGTGAAAGTTGACAATGACTAAGAAACACAGAATCGATGTCTTCAAATTGTAGTGGTGGTCAAGAGTATTGAATATACTATAACCCTAGCTCCAGCCACCTCTGAAAAACTGCTGTATGGCCAACCTATGAGTGAATCTGCCTCTAAAGTGTACAACATCGACTCCCAATGGGGCAAATAGGTTCATCTTGGAGAAGCGCAATCAGGTGGTTCTTGCAGGTAAGGACGGGGAAACTCCCATTTCCATACTTTGGACATGTTATCAGAAGGCACCAGTCCTTGGGAAAAGATCATGCTTGGAAAATCTGGGAGTCAGTGAAAGAGAGGAAGATTAGAAGGAAATGAATGGATTGACACAATGACCACAGTAGTGGGCTGGAAGAGACGAGGCTGTGGGGACGGAGCAGGACAGGCCAAGGTTTCGAGCCGTCTTCATGGTGACCTTTTAAATAGGAGTTGAGTCCATAGCATCGAAGAACAATGTGTGCGGACATAGTGGGGAGAAGGGTGGAACCTTGTTCAGAGACCACACGGGCCTGAAAACATCACCGCTGCAATAAACTGACGCATGAAGGCAAAGGCTCTCATGTTCCTGCTTCTCTATGTCCTTCTCACATGTAATAAACAGTGTTCCCCTCTTTTGATTTTCTGACTCCAGCTCTTTGCATTTAAATACTCTGCTTCATCTTCCTGAGCTGTCCTTTGAAATCAGCTTCTTAACTTTATGATTTCTTCCCTTTGCGTTGCTTTCTCAGTGTCCTTGTGCAATATTCTAACATCTCTTCTAACATCCATCTCAGTTTTTTCTTCCTCCTCTGTCTTTGTAATAAACTTTTGCATTCTTTGTGGATGATACTCTTTATCCTCCCACAGCTCACCTGGTCTTCATTCATTGCTGATCAAGGCCTCACATTTGTTCCTGAGAAGGAACTTGACGTAAGAGTTAACTATAAACAACATCTAGTTTCAACGTGCTTTTGTGAATGTGAACAAAGCTATTCTTGACGAAGCTGTTTGATTTCTTAGCTAAGATAGAAGGAAAAAGAAGAAATTGAAGTTAAAAGTGAAGAAATACTTAATTGTTAGGTAGTTTTACCAAAAAAGAGAAGAGTCATTGAAGAAAAACAAAACAAACTAAACCCACACTAGTTGTTCCATCTGCTAAAATGCAGCCCCTCCCTCACCCTGTGAAATGGTGCATCTCACGCCCACAGCAGCTCAGAGGACTGAGAGGTCATCACATCACAAGGAAGGTGCTGATACGTAGGAAGAGCCTCAGAGAAGAGTCCACCAGCCCGCCTTCCCTGCCCAGCCATGGGGCCCACACACCTCTGCCTGGCGGCCCTGTGTGTCCTGGGAGCAGGTCAGTGGTGACCCTGTGGGACTCCAGTGTCAGGACTTCCTCCTGGGGCTGCACCACCAGCTCCTCCTGCGCTTTTCTCCAGCTTCTGTCTCCTTCCTCCACAGGCTCCGTGGACACTGAGGTCACCCAGACTCTCTACAGGCTCTGTGGACACTGAGGTCACCCAGACTCCAGGACAGCTGGTCAGAGGGACAAAACAGAAAGCAAGGATGGAGTGTGTCCCCATAAAGGGACATAATTATGTTCATTGGTATCGTCTGAAGCTTGGAGAAGAGCTCAAGTTTTTAATATACTTCCAAAACAAAGACATTATTGATGCTTCAGGAATGTCTGATAAACGGTTTTCAGCTCAGTGTCCCCCAGACTTGCCGTGTAGCATGGAGATCGAACCCACGGAGTTGGAGGACTCAGCCGTGTACTTCTGCGCCAGCAGTGAGTCCACAGCGCTGCAGGGTCAGCTGCTTCTGAGACACAAACCCATCTAAACCCAGCTCAGGAAACAGGTGGGACATGAGATTGATGAGAAGAAATAGAAACGAACTCAAAAGAGGCCATGCCAGAGAAGAGTCGTTTAAAGGGAACTTTGTGTGGTGGTGGTGGTGTTAGGTGCTGTCAAATATGCCTCACAGTGACCCTGTGAACAACAGATCTGAACTCTATCCTACCCTCTCCCAGACTCATCATCTCTGACACACATGAGCCCATTGCTGCTGTCACTGGGTCCGTTCTTCTAATCGAGATTCTTCCTCTCTTTCATTGATGTTGTGATTAATGGTTATAAAGCATATTATTTTTGTGCATAGTCAATAAAACCAAGCATACATCCTTCTGGTATTCTCTGCTTTAGCTAAGGTCACCCAGCAATGTATTTATCATTATAAGTAATGCAAATTAGAGGGGGGAGCAAATTACTTTATCAAGAAATCCATCAAAATTAAAAAAGTATTAAACACCGTTTCGACTTAGAAATACCTTAAAAATAAACAACTATGAGATAACTTCTCAACCCAGTAAGAATAGCAAAATTTAACAGAACAGCAAACATCAAATGCTGGCGAGGTTGTGGAGAAACTAGAACTCTCATTTTCTGTTGGTGGAAATGTAAAATGGTGTAGTCACTATGGAAGGCTCTATGGCGCTTTCTCCAAAAGTCGCAAATAGAGATACCATTTGACCCAGCAATTCAACTGCTGGGAATTTACCCTAAAGAAACCATCATCACCACCCAAGCAGATATATGCACATCCATGTTTATTGTGGCTTTGTTCACAATAGCAAAGATCTGGAAACAATCCAAGTGCCCATCAATAAACGAATGGATAGAGAAGCTCAATGGAATACTATGCAGCATTGAAAAACAAGGAACTCATGAAATATTATACAAAGTGGATGACCCTGGAGGACATTATACTGAGTGAAACATCTAAATAACAAAAGGACAAACATCGCATAAGGACACTGTTGTAAAATGGGACTGATATCATGGTTGAGGGAAGACAAAAAAGGAGAAGAGGAATGAGGTACATTGCATTGAAACAGATGAGGGAGAGATCTGTTTAAAAGGGATATATGAATGGGTATTCTTGTCATTACAGAAGTCCAGAGAGAAGGCTGCATAGTGGAATGGGCTTGGGGGGAAGGGATTGCATAACAATGAAAGAGTTTCATTAAAATTAATAAATAAATTTTTAAAAATAAGGAAAATAAGTAGACTTTTTTAATAAGAAAACCTTATGCTGTAAATCTCACTCCAAAAATTAAAGTATTCCATGAAAAATGATTAAAAATATGCCATAGCACAGGAAATGAAAGAAAGATGTCTTCTAATTTTATTTTTAAACACCAACAGCAAACAGAAGATGTACTTCTTTTAAAGAGATAGAGTATTTACTAGTAACAATAAAATTATAAAGCACCTAGAACAAATCTATTAAAAAATAAAATTAATCAGAGAGAAAAAAAATTCCAAAACTAATTGTGGGGTTTCTTTAAATTCCAAAATTAATTGTTAAAGGTCTCTTTAAATTCTAAACTAAGTTGAATAATATGTTTAATAGAAAATAATTTGTTACAGAAAGTTTATAAACAGAATGACCCAACTTAGGTAAAACATGCAAAATTAAATATATTATGCAGATTCTGTGTGAGTGTTAAAACTACGTAAAAAGCAAACGAATGACAAATCTAACCTTCACTGTTACCTGAATAGAGTGAGAAGCCAATGGAATTCAGAGAGTGACATGGGGCTTAAATTTTTCACATGCATTTTTCTCTTAAATTGACTGCTTTAAGGAAAGATGTCCATGTGATATTTTTCACTCTATAACCATGATCTTTTTGTTGTTATGTGCCATTGAGTTGCCTGTGACTCATAGCAACCCTATGTACAACAGACCTAAACCCTGCTCTATCCTGTGCCAATCTTATTGTCTCTGACACACCTACCCCCATTACTCCAATCACTGAATCAATCCATCTCATCGAGGTTCTTCCTCTCCTGCACTGTCTCTCCATCCTCAGAAGCATGACATCCCTCTCCAAGGAATGACCCCACCTTGTAACATGTCCAAAGTATGTCAAATAAAACTTCAGAATCCTTGCCTCCAAGGAACAGCCTAGTGTCACTCTCTCCGGGACAAACCTGTTTGTTTTCCTAGCAGTCCATGGTATATACAATACTCTTCTCCAGCACCACAGCTCAAAGGCATCAATTCTCCTTCAATCATCCCTAGTCATTGTCCAGCGTTCTGAAGCATAGTTTCAGGTGCACCTTAGTCTCCAGACTGACACTGTTGCTCTTCAGTACTTTGGAAAGGTCTCTGACAGCAGGTTTTCCAAAACCATCATGTTTTTCATAAATATTTAATATTTAATTTTTCTTATAAACAAGATATTATGTCGTTCTATGAACATAGTAGGCAACTCTGATTGGTACACACTGAGCTGTGTAACATTACCTGAGATGGAGGGGAGGAGAGAAAGGGGAAAGGGAAGGGACAGAAGGTAAAAAGACAAATACATAAGGGACGTATACATGTTTTTGTAAAAATGACAGGGAACAGAGAGAAAAGGAAAGTGAATTAAAACACTATTTGTTCCACCTGCTAAAACACAGCCTCTTCCTCACCCTGTGACGTGATTATCTTATATCCACAAAGATTGAGAAGTTTTGGGGAGATGACCACATCACAAAGAGGGTGCTCATGGGTATGAGAAGCCTCAGAGAAAGTCCACCAGCCCACCTTCCCTGTGCAGCCATGGGGCCCACACTCCTCTGCCTGGCAGCTCTGTGTGTCCTGGGAGCAGGTCAGTGGTGACCCTGTGGGACTCCAGTCTCAGGACTTCCTCCTGGGGCTGCACCACCAGCTCCTCCTGGTTTTTTCTCCAGCTTCTGTCTCCTTCCTCCACAGGCTCCGTGGACACCGAGGTCACCCAGACTCCAGGACAGCTGGTCAGAGGGACAAAGCAGAAAGCAAGGATGGAGTGTGTCCCCATCAAAGGGTACACTTTTATTTATTGGTATCGTTAGACATTAGGTAAAGAGATCAAGATTTTTATTAACTTTAGGAATGAGGAAACTCGTGATGAATCAGGAATGCTGATGAACTGTTTTCAGCTCGGTGACCTGGAAACTCACCTTGTACCATGGAAGTTGGGTCCACAGAGCCTGTGAATTCAGCTGAGTGCTTCTGCGTCAGCAGTACAACCATCACAGCGCTGCAGGGTCTGCTATTCCTAGAACACAAACTCGTCCTGGCCCAGCGCAGGAAGCAGATGGGACAAGAGGTTGGTGGGAAGTACCTGCCTGAAACAAGAGCATCCATCAAAGGGAAAATGCTGTACAGAAATCTGCAGTTGAGCAGTTAATACTAAAAACAGCTGATGGCACAAACCCCAGGGACTGGGACTTCTGTCGTGTGTTACATGGGTATGGTGTTGACCTAAAGGTTGGTAGTTTGAATCCTCCACCTGCTTCTTGCAACAAAGTTGGACAATCTCCTCTAATAATTGCAGCCTCAGAAACTTGGAGAGTCACCACGAGTTGGAACTGAAGATAATAGATTTAATTTCTTTTAACCTCATAGTCTGTGGAATATCAGGAAGAGGAAGAGGCAGGTTTCCTCCTTTTATTGGGTTTTATAATATATACAGTTTTATAAAATTAATTGTAACTGATGAATATCATTTAATATAATGTCTTACCAAATCCTCACTGTACCTTCCCTTCCCCTAATCTTACCCATCCATCTATTAATCTCTGCTCTCTTCATCCATCTCTGTCATCTCTCAACCTTGAAATTTGCAGATTTCCAACATCTTTATAAAGGCATCTTCTCTTCTCTTCTCTCCTCTCCTCTCCTCTCCTCTCCTCTCTCTCTCCTCTCTCTCTCCTCTCTCTCCATCTCTCCACCCCTCTCTCTTCTCTGTCAGAGTCAGAATCAGCAGCTCACAGCTTCCACTTCAGCAACTTCTCTTTGGGTTGGCAGTGCAACTCCTTCCCCAACAGAACACCAGAGCTCCACATAAATAGCTCCCTAAGAAACTTCAAAACAAAAACAAAACACAAATCTCTTTACATTGACTTTTTGTTTGACTCAGGATCCAAGTAAATTCCAATCATTTTCTTTTAATAATAAATCTCCTTTATCTTTTTTTAATCCTACTGGAGTGGTGGGAATGAGTGCATTTGAGATGGCTAGGTTGGCACAGGATAGAACGGCGTTTAGAGCTCTTGTACATAGGGTCGCTATGAGTCACAAACAACTCGATGGCACATACAACAACAACAACAATCTTACAAAAATGCCTTTAAAAGAAACCCCAAGTATTTATTTACTGTATAAGCAGTTATCCTAAAGAGTATCCCTATTTCTAGGTTTGTCTGTTTGCTTCAAAATGTTGTTTAATATATCACTCTTATATCACTGGTTTGTTGTTGTTTTTTTTACTAGAAAATTCACTTTCAGGCCAGAATTTAATCCAGTCTTGCTATTTTTTATCAAGAATATTCTGTAGGTGGTACTGTGAGCTTCCAATTGCATCTTATCAGAAAGCACAATAAAGAATCCCTTGTTATTAAAACATGTGGGTAGATATGCTTCAAATGAATGCAAATATAACTGACAATAATTAGAATCTAATGAAACTTTAGGTCTTTAGAATATATTCTAACAATAATTTTATTAAATAGATGATGCTTGAAATGGAACTAAAATAGACTTATCTCTATGGCTATAAAATAGTAGGAATCATTTCAACAACTTGTTTTCAATTGGAGGGAAGTGAATTTCTTGATTCAATATTTTTTAAATTCATTTTTATTTCCTTCTAGATTCAAAACTATAATAAACATTTATTCAGACCATCAGGCATGCAGAAACAGGTACAAGACTGTTGTGCAATTGTAGTTGCAAAGATGGGGATTAAGTGGGCATCAATTAAAGAATGGATGATGCCTTTAGTAAAAGTTAACTTAAAAGCAAGCAAAGGATAATTCTAAAATGGAGGTAGAAACAAAACTAATGAATCAGAAACAATGGCACAGGACTGAACATGTCTCATGCAAATAAATCTCCTAAATGACTAGTTAAGGTCAAGGTATTTGTGTTATTGCTTCTCCCAACCCTCTGTTGTCAAGTTGATTCTGATTTGTGTCAGCTCAAGTACAATATCTATTACTTTGTATAATTCTGCATATATGTTGTTCATGTCCATCCGCTGCTCTATGATGTTAGGAGTGTGATAAAAGTAACGACTCATACAAATCAAGCTGTGTGATTTATTACCTGATACGGATGGGGAAGAAAAGGGAATTACCTGACAGACATGTTGGAAAAGTAGGTAAGTAAACAAATAATATATAAGTGTAAATAAAAAATGCACAAGTGGCTTCAAAATACACAAATGAACAAGGAAGAAATAAATTGGCTCAAACTCACGCTAGTTGTTGTTGCTGTGTGCTGTAAGTTGCAACCAATCCATAGCTGACCCTCTAACAGGATTCGGAGGCGGTAAATTGCACAAGAGGAGACTGCCCATCCTTCTCCCAGGGAGCAGCTGGTCGACACACCGCCTGCCTTTGAGATTGCAGCACACCCTTTTTACCACTAGGTCAACAGAGTACCAGCCCTCCCTCACCCTGTGAAATGGTGCGTCTCACGCCCACAGCAGCTCAGAGGACTGGGAGGTGACCACGTCACAAGGAGGGTGCTGATACGTAGACAGAGCCTCAGAGAAGAGTCCACCAGCCCACCTTCCCTGCACAGTCATGGGGCCCACACTCCTCTGCCTGGCGGCCCTGTGTGTCCTGGGAGCAGGTCAGTGGTGACCCTGTGGGACTCCAGTCTCAGGACTTCCTCCTGGGGCTGCACCACCAGCTCCTCCTGCGCTTTTCTCCAGCTTCTGTCTCCTTCCTCCACAGGCTCCGTGGACACCGAGGTCACCCAGACTCCAGGACAGCTGGTCAGAGGGACAAAGCAGAAAGCGAGGATGGAGTGTGTCCCTATCAAAGGTCATAACCGTGTTTATTGGTATCGTCAGAAGCCGGGAGAAGACCTGACGTTTATGATTTACTTTGTGAATGAAGAAGCCACTGATGAATCAGGAATGCCCAGTGAGCGGTTTTCAGCTCAGTGTCCCAAGAACTCACGGTGCAGCATGAAGATCGAGCCCACGGAGCTGCAGGACTCAGCCGTGTACTTCTGTGCCAGCAGTGAGTCCACAGAGCTGCAGGGTCAGCTGTTCCTGGGACACAAACTTGCTCTGACCCAGCTCAGGAAACAGGTGGGACATGAGGTTGTTGGGCAGTAACAGAAGCTAAACTTGGAGGAGTATACTTCAAAGGGAAATTCTTGAGAAGAAACTTGAGGTGCAGAAAAGGGAGGTTTTACAGAGCTGATGGTACAGGCTTCCAGAGAAGAAGGAAGATGAAAGTGGAAGCATCCCAGTTAGTGGAATTTTATCCAAAGATATGACCCTGGGTAGCTTCTTTTTTTTAGTACACATGCTTTTGAAATTCCAGCAGACTTCATAAAGACATTGTGCATGTGCTTTTCACTAGAAAAACTGTGTCTTCAGGAAAAGGGTAATGGACTCCCATCAATTGTCACTGGCCTAGAACCTGTCACTCCGTTAGACCAGAGACTACTCTTCAAGGGGCTGTCTGCTTTTTACAGGGTCACAGCACAGAAAATGACCTGGAAATGTTCAGCAATTTAGCCAAGATGTTAACTTTGGACACCCTCACCTGTGCTCTTGTTACCTGGGACTCAGGTGGGGAAATTGAACATTCCGACAGAGCCATGGAAGGAGAGTGTGGGGTGATGTCAGGCCTTCAGCTCAACTCAACTCATTGTCTTTGAGCGGGAAGCAACAGCTGGCCCTCCAGGGGGTTTGCAGAGACTATAAAGCAAAGGAGACTGTCCAGCTTTCTTCTGTGGGGTAACAACCCCTGTGGTGGATTTGAACTGTTTACATGTGGGTTGGCAGTACAGCTATATACTGCTAGGCCACAGAGTCCTTGCTGATGTTGTTAAGTGCCATCGAGTTGTAGACAACTCATAGCGACCCTATGGAACGAAAGCCTTGGATACTTTTATAACTTTCATCTTTTCTCCAGATTCATAGGGTTTCCAGAGACAAGCTATTTCAGAAGTGGGTCCCACTCCTGCTTTCAAGCTTGTTTTAATCAGGGAGCTCCACCAAACACTGTCCAACATGGGTAACTATTCTCACATTCGACACATCAGTGTCACAATGTTTAACTTCACAGCAACCATGAGTTACCTCTGTACAGCAAGTGGACAGACCAGGGATATACGACCTGGAAGAATGTTTCACCAAAATCAATTAAAGACTGGCCCAAGGGCCAGTGGCCCTCGGGCCCTACAGTATTTTAAGCTACCACCTGGGACAGGCTCCATAGGCTCCACCTTACTTACCCTTAGTCTAAGGTTCTGGGCTGCCCACCCACTTTTGAAGGGCAAAAAGAACAACAGTAACATACAGCAAAAAGGACCCCAGAAACTTCCCTTATCTGACTGCCACCAAATCAAGCCACCATTGAGATGCCAGCCATCCCGCCAGAAGCCAAATTTATCTTGGGAAGTTTCTCATCATAAAACATTCAGTTATACTTTAAGTTAAAGAGACCATTACAATGAAGAACCATTTGTTCAAGTTGCTGTGGGCCATCGAGTCAGAACCAACACATATTTGAGCCTCCAGCAGGTTTTCAAGGGCACTTCATCCCACAGGAGGAGACTGCCCATCTTCCATGTGTGTGTGTGTGTGTGTGTACATCTTGTCCCTACTTGCAAACTGTATTGTCTTTATCTCGATTCTTCTCAGGCTGACCCTTCCTTGTCTTGGTCCTTGTTATCATGTTCTTTGTCTACTCATTTTGTTTCTTTTCTCCCTCCCCCCCATCCCTCAAATACCCTCCTATTTTGGCAACAGTGGTGGTGTTACATTGTATTTAACCTTTTACAGCTGAGTTATGTCACTGGACACAATGCTCTTAGACTCTACTGTGCTGTGTTGCACTTTAGGAATACTCTGTTGTTCTTTAGTGTGGCATAGTATTTCATTGTGTGAATACAGCACACTTCTATCCACTTGTTTGTAGGTGAGCATTTGGATTTCCCCCCCCCCAGTTTCTTACTGTTATAAACAAAGCTGCTATGAGCATAGGTGCACCCCAGCAGCAGTAGCAAAGTTTAATAACAAGCATTCAATGTTGGAGAGGATGTGAAGAGATTGGAATTCTCGCACATGCTGGTGCCGCTGTAAAATGGTGCAACCGGAGTGGAAGGCATAATATAGTCAGAAATTATTAAGACTACTATCTATCACATGTGTTTCATAGCCTTTTTAAAAAAATTAATTTTTCTAAATTATTTTAAAAGAAATTTCAGAAACTTTCATTTTTATTGCTATCTTTTCAGTTTGTACTTCCAATGTGAATACTGTCATTTTAACCAGTGTTATTTCATCTAACCAAAATAGTAGCTATATTTCATTTCACAAAAAATGCTTTCCACACTGAAATTTCCCTAATTGTCTCAAAAATTTTTCTTCATACTATGTTTTTTGTCGAATCAGATGTCTGCAGGCTTGTATGATTATACTCTATCTCACAGCGTGAAAGTCACGACTGTGCTTTCAAAACAGTTACATGTAAGCTAGAGTAAAATAGAACTGCAACGAGTCTGCTGCTGAGAGGCCTCTGACATTCTGTGTATATTCTCACACACACTCACTGTTGCAGGATCAGAACCAGCATCAAGCTCACCCTCCAGGGGGTTTTCAAGAGGTCAGAGGTCACATGGGTGGACATTTCCCATCTTCCTCCCCTGGAGGGGGCTGTAGGATTTGAACTGTCAGAGAAGTACCACCTGTGGGTTAATAGGGCAGCTCCTTATAGATTACACCCCAGAACTCCCTTGACCTTGAGATCATGAGAATTTTATTTAGAAAATGTCCAAACTGAAAGAAACCTAAGAGTTTGTGCTAACCAAACTGCTGTGATAAAAGATGGCATAACATGGTTCATCTTTGTAAACTAGCCTTGAGACACAAATCTAAGCAATCCCAAGAACCTTTCACTTCAAGGAAAGATCTGTCCTTTGGCTAATTTGTAATACTGCACAATGTGCTAATTTTCTGAGGTCTCACTGACTTTTGTCTCCTGGAGCCAAAGGGAAATATTTCTCTGTGTGACTGTTAAGAGTCACCGTGTTGACTATGAACAACAGATTGAAACTGCGTCCTACCCTGCACCACCCTCTCATCCCACCGTGCCCAAGCCCACTGCTGTAGTGCTGGGCGGTGCACCTGTTGGAGGGTCTTCCTCTCTGAAATGTACAGAAGAGCCTGACATTCTGCTTCCTCACCAGCAGGTTGCTGCTGCTGGTTTTGTTGTCACTACATGTTGTAGAGTTGCCTGTGACTCATGACGACCCTATGTACAACAGCCCTAACCCCTGCTCTATCACTTACCAATCTTATTGTCTCCAATACACCTATCCCCATTACCACCGTGACTGAATCAATCCATGTCATAGAGGTTCTTCCTCTCTTGTGCTGTCCCTCCACCCTCCCAAGCATGACGTTCCTCTCCAAGGACTGGTCCCTCCTTGCAACATGTTCAAAGTATGTCAGACGAAGCTTCAGAATCCTTGCCTCCAGGGAGTAGCCTGGTTTAACCCTCTCCAGAAACAACTTGTTTCTTTTCCTAGCAGTCCATGGTATATTCAATACCCTTCTTCAACACCACAGCTCAAAGGCATCAATTCTCCTTCTATCATCCGTCATTGTTCAGCTCTCTGATGCATAGCAAGTAATTGCAAAGACTATGGCCTATATCAGCCATATCTTAATCTCCAGACTGATGTCGTTGCTCTTCAGTACTTTGGAGAGGTCTCTAACAGCAGACTTTCCCAATGCAATTAGACTTTCCATTTCCTGGCTGCTGGTACCAAGAGTGCTGATTGTAGCGCAGGGCAAATTAAAGCTGTGAACAATCTCAATCTCTTCACCATCCATCCTGATGCTACCAATCGATCCAGTGGTGAGAATCTTTTCTTAACGTTGAACTTCAATCCATATTGAAGACTGCAGTCCTGCACCAGGCGCTTCAGGTCCTCCTCAGTTTCAGCAAGCAGGGTTGCGTCACCTGCATAACACAGATTGTTGATGGATCTTCCTCCAATCCTGATGCCACACTTTTCCTCATAGAGCCCAGCCTCCCAGATAATCTGTTCTGCATACAGATTGAAAAGATATGAATATGTGCTGCATGTTTCCTTGCTCCGTTCTGACAAGTGCCTCCTGGTCCAAGTACAGGTTTTGCGTAAGTACAATCAAGTGTTCTGGGATTCCCATTCTTCTCAGAGTCAGCAGTTTGTTGTGATCCACACAGTGGATCTTTGCATAATCAATGAAACAGGAGGAAAGAGAAAAAAATAACTCCCCTATGACTTTGTTTGCAGCTATTGACCTTGAACATTGACCACCAGGAACTCTTCTGAGTCCCAGTCCTCAAGAAGCCTTCCTGTCTTCCCGTGGAAACCTCTCAATCAGGATAGAAGACTGAAGACTGAAGATTTTAATTCTAATCTTGGAACTAACAGATATAATTGCTGGTTCTGATATGCCAGTCTTAAGTGAATGTGTGAGCTTTTATTTGAGGGCCTTTCCATGACTACCTTAACATAAATGAGTTTCTGCATGTCGTACCTAAGGCTCTCTACAGTGTTTTTTTAAGATAAATCTTACACCACAGTTGGTGCAGATAGCAGTTGTTATCAACAATTAATTATTGGTGGACAAAAAGTAGGTCAGGTGTCTATTTTTATCAATGGATAAGAAAAGGTACATTTTTGTCAACATCCAGGAGATGTCGATCTGGGTGGGGGGTGGGGAAAATCAGGTTCTGGCATATTTATCTGAACTGAGTGACATCAGATATAAATTAAAAACTGAATTAGGCTAGCATTTTAATTTCTACTTTTTAAAAATAAACCACTCTGTGGGGTTTTGGTGTGTGGTGTTTGGGGTTTCTTGTTTGTTTGTTTTTTGTTTCTTTTGGTGGTGATTGTTATGCCTTTTACTGCCTGAGAAACAAAGAAAGAAAATACCAAGCTCTCGAATCGCAATAAAGAACAGCTTAGTACCTGTTCGGAATTTCCCCGGAGAAAATACTGCGCTCGTCAGGAGGGTTAGCGGTAAAACTAATAATGTTAACTGAAGCTAAAACCTAGTAAATAACTTTATAATTAACTTAGATGAAAATCATATCCTTCTTCTCA